ATAACTTACAGTAGGCTTACTCAAAGCAATTAATGTACTTTTATTTACTTTTAACCGATAGTTTATCAGCTGTTTTTCAAATGGACTTTGGCGTGATGCTCTGAACATGACTGTCTGTCTGCCTGTCTGTCTGACTGCCTGCCTGTCTGACTGCCTGTCTGTCATTCTGCCACGCAATAAGAAAAGTTTACCTGGGTTTAACTCCATCTCCCCCACCTGTCTCCCTGCCTCTCTCTCTCTGCCTGTCTCGCTCCAGACAACCAAACACCCCCGGGCTGTGTGTTCGTCACTCCCCGGCAGATAGAGCTCCAGTCCCGGCCTTTGCAGAAAGTAATCCCCGCTGCAGCTCTGGAGGAATGTCTTCCCTGCACTCCTGCTGGAAGAGCAGAGCCGTGATTTGTGCTTCAAAGCCTCTCTGTGTATGTTCCTGTTTCCTCTCATTCACACAGTTTAACGTGCTTGTGTTGAGAAACAGCGTCAACAAGTGGACTGGAGGTATAATGAAGAGGAGGCGAGTTGATTAAGTTTTTCTTTCTTTTACTTTATTTGTAACAAAGTTCAGTTACAAAAACTACGACGGAGGATTAGTATGAGGGACAAAAAATGACTGAGTGAATGAGTATAAATAATGAATATAAATAAATAAATGTTGGGAGAAATGCATATAATAATGTATAAATAAATAAATAATCAAATAAATGCATCAATAAATATATAAATAAATATATAAATGTTAAAAAACAATACATCAATGAATAAATAATAAATACACTTTGTTAATGAAAAAGGCTATTTATATATTTTTACATGTATTTATTCATTTATTAGCGTATTTCTACAGTTATATATGTATTAATGCATACATTTCCACATTAATTGAGTTAATAATTTATTTCCATATTTTTACATTTACACATCTATTTATTTCTGTGTCCAGGTTGTAAGAGGAAAAGTAAATATGTAAATTTGCTTCTGTCTGTTTTTCAAAATTGACCAATCCTACTCAGTAATGTTAGGACGGCCCACATAATTAACATATTTACTTTTCCTTGTACAACATGGACACCGAAATGCATGAATATATTTATTTATATATTAATTTTTATATGAATTGTTGCATTTATTTATCTAAATATTTTTATTTATATATTTATTTATGCATTTATTTAATTATTTATTTATTTATACATTTATTGTATGCACTTCTCCCAACATTTATTTATTTATTCATTTATTTATTTATTTATACTTTAGTCATTTTTTGTCCCTCATAGATAAGGGCCACGTTAAAAAAAAATAATAATAAAAAAATTCTAGATTAAAGTCGTAAATTTACGAGAAAAAAGTCATAAAATTTACAACTTTCATTTCGCAAATGTGCGACTTTAATCTCGAAATTTAAAACAAATTTAAAAAATTTACGTGGCCCTAATCCTCTGTCGTACAAAAACATATAGCCTACATCTAATAAACTCAAATGCATGAGCTGATATGTTTATTATAGAGTAAAAATTGGGAATGACATATAGGCTACATTATGAAATAACAGTCAAATAAACAAGAAAGTAAAATATATATTTCTAAATAAAGTAGCCTATTTGTTTTCCTCAAATTCCTATTTATAATAATAATAATAATAATAACTTTATTTATACAGCACCTTTTAAAAACACAGGTTTACAAAGTGCTTTGACAAACAGCAAAAACAAGAACAAATTAAAGCAAACACAGAAGAACATAAACAACAGCAAGAACATAACAAATACTAAATACTAAAAATAATTAAATACAATTCAATTCAATATCTAGGGTTAGATCTTCAAGAGAGATTAAATATAATGTTTGCAAGGACCTGAGGCGTCCACACTAGTTGTAAATTAGTTGTAAAAAAGTTGTAAATGAACTTCCTCTTTCATTTTGTACTTATAGACAATATGTATATATCCCTGTTTTTATCTTTATTTATCTTATCTATTCTGTTTAATGTGTATTTTGTATTTTGAGCTTTCTTGTCTGTGCTGCTGCAAAGCCCGAATTTCCCCTCTGGGGATCAATAAAGTTTTATCCTATCCTCCTATCCTAAATGACCTGTGGAGGGCAGCATCACGCCTTGGATGCAGCTTGTCTGCCGGAAAGCTCAAAGAAGACGAAGAAGAAGAAGAAAGTGGAGAACACACGAAGAAGAAAGTAGTCAAGCCTCGTGAAGCGGGAATTGACAGCTTGCTACCATGGACTGGTAAATACTTTAATATATTTATCAGTTTAAAGTTAAACACACCTTTCTGTTTAGTGCTGTGTGTGAACCATTATCTGGTTTATTAGCCGGCTAGCTCTTTGATCATGTTGAGTTCTGTGTTAGCTGCAGGATGCTAACTGTTTATAATCAGAGCTGATGCTAAGCTGTTAGCTCACCTGAAGTTTAACATGATTATATATTATATACTTTATTATATACTTTAGTGTATATGATTATTCAGAGTTAGTAATTCATCCTAAATATAGCAAAGTGGACATTTCTTAAAGGTATTAGACTGAAACAGACTGATGATGAAATCAGATGTTCATGTTGTGAAGCTGCAAAACTGAGATTTCAAATGTTTTAAAAGTGTTTTTATTGTTTATATTAAAGACTTTCAGATAGTTGTTAAACATCCAGCTACGAAAACCAAACACTTTCACATTGTACATATAGTAGCCTATATCCAGTAGCCTATATTATATATATATATATATATATATATATATATATATATATATATAATAGATTGTATTAAATGTAAAATTGTAAACATACTGGACCAAACTGTAAAGATATAAGGATTGTATAAATATATAAAATGTAAATATCGTACATCAAATTGTACAAGTAGATATGTATATATAGATATATGGATTGTATAATATATAAATTATAAAAAATCATAGTATATCAAATTGTATATATGTATGGAAAATCATTGGATTGTAAATATCAAATATAGTATCATAAATATAGTAATATAGATAGATTGTATATATAGAGATTATAAGGAACAAAGGAAGTTAATTTAATTGAATAAATATTAATTATTGAGCTGTGGAAAAGGATTAAATAAGTTTTATACTTCTATTATTAAGTATAATTATATCAGTTGAATATATGTAATTTTCTTTGCTTTTTCTTTTTTGTGAAATAATTTGAACATTGTTTTTTGTTTATTGTATTTGCGTGCTTTTCATTTTGTTTTGTATTTTTGATGTTTGATTTTATTTGATATGTCTGAAATAAATTGAATCAATCAATCAGTCAAACATCCACAGCTGAGCACAGAAGCTTTAATCTGAATCCTGAAACATGACTGACAACAACACAGTCAATATGAAGATATAAGAGCCTGAGACAGTTTCCAGTTTCCTCAAAGTCAAGCTGAGAAACATCAGAAAGCAAAGTTAACATGAAAGAAAAAAACAAGATTGAACAAACGATGTGCACGTTGAACTTTTAAACTGATCTGTCTTTGAAGAATATTCTCAGAAAGTGTTTTTTAAAATCTTTTTCTTGAAGGGGGCAGAGTGAGCTGCCGTCTCCGGTCGTCCGAGATGATGAGGTGACGGTCGCTGCCCGCAGGAGGAGGAAGAAGGTGGCCTGTATCCTTCAGCGGGGACAGTGTTTATGCATAACATGATGATATCATCAACATAAGGCCTTTGCACAAAGTGTCTCTTTTTTTCCCCGTCTGAAATTGACAAATTATTAAAAAGAAATGGATCTCATGTTTGCACACTGACTCCAAAACTTTTCTGTTTTTCCGCAGTTGAATTTGTGTCTTTAGTGTCCCTACCTCAAACATACTGCTCGATTGCTTTGCAGAAATGGAGATTCTGCTAGTTAAGCTAGCAGCGTCTCAAACTGGACCACTGACATCCTAAAAATACACCTGGAAGAGATCTGTATGATTCCTCTCCTCCTTAATCAACCGGTGAAACTCTCCTTGGTTTGTCTTGTTTCCAGGAGTGGAGGGACCCCGTGTTTCCTTTTTGTTTTTTGTTTTCCAAGGAGTGAAAGAACCACAAAAATCCTCTTCATTGTGCAAGGCCTCTGGTCGTAACATTTTATCTACGGATTACAGATCCAGAAAGAAAACCTGACTCAGTGTGAAAAGATCTTGAGTACAGTTATTTATGGGGTTAATCGAGGTGTGAAGACATTGTAAGAGCTGTCAGTGTTGTTGTTTTCCTGACTGTTTGTATCAGTTCCTTCCCCCGGCAGCGGCAGCCCCGTCATGTCCACAGTGACACCAGCCCGCTCCCTGCTCAGGAACACTCCTGCTTCACTGTACAGACAGGCTGGTATGACACACACACACACACACACACACACACACACACACACACACACACACACACACACACACACACACACACACACACACACACACACACACACACACACACACACTCTTAAATAAAGATGCTAATCTTTCAGCTCAGCGGATATTAAACACACCGTATTTTATTAAAGCCTCACTCTTCTTCTCACTTTCTCTCAGTAACTCCCAGGGTTCCAGATATGTCCTCCATTTTGGCTCCAGGAGGACGAACGCCTCGATACACGCACACACCCAGGACGGCACTCAGCAGTATGGTGAGACAAAAACACACACATTAGGAAGTCCAAAGAATGTATGATATCTGAGCATCTGACATCATTTCTGCTCCATTTTTTTCAGTTTCATTTACAAAGAATATCACCCAAACTACAAGTAATGCATTGAAATGATGGTGTGTGTGTGTGTGTGTGTGTCTGTGTGTCTGTGTGTGTGTGTCTGTGTCTGTGTGTGTATATGTAGAATTTGGACGACAGTGATTGGACCAACAGCATGTACACCTCCCCTGTCTCTGGACTGGAGAACACCAGCTTCTTCACGGATGACATCGCCAACCTGAGCTCGGCGCTGCTGAAGGAGGACGATCCAGGCGAGGCCGGTGAGTTCAACAAAAAATCACGCCGACTCACTCTATTGCATCTTTAGTGGTTAGTTCGAATGTTTACTTTTGACCTTTTTCATTATTTTAGCGGCTGCCAGTCTTTTCCCAGAGTTCCTCAGTTCCTTTCTGAAACACTCTTCGTCTGGCGTCTTCGAGCTGCTTGAGGATTACCAGAATCTTTGCCAGGACAAGGTAGGCCAGAACCTCTAACGAGCACGTTTAAAACCTGATAACAGGAAGTTAAATACAACCTATAAATCAAACATCTCTTCAGCTCACTCCTCAGTTTGATCGCTCACTTTCTCCCCCATCACGGTTTCTAAGGTGGACGTGCTTCAGTCTGTGGTCCTCAGAGCGGGGCAGAACAGTAAAACAGCAGGAGTCCGCTGGCTGCTGCAGCAGGAGAACTGCTCCTGGAGACTCATCACCTCCTTGTACAGGTACCTGTCTGATTTCAGGACCA